TACCAACGTTGTTCCGCAATAACTTCTACTGAGTCATGATCCCCACATAATTGCTGTGCCATCAACCCCTAAACCCTAAACCCTAAACCCCTAAACCCTGAACCCTGAACCCCTAAACCCCGAACCCCTAAACCCTAAACCCCTTTAGACCCACGGCCTTCACCGAGATGACCGGCTTCGACTGAAGAATCTGCAAACCATCGAAGGTCAACTTGATGATGTCCACAGGCCTGAGGAAATGTGCGGCTTAGGGTTTATAGGGTGCATAGGGTTTGTCGGGTTTATTGGGTTCATAGGGTTTATAGGGTTTATAGGGTTCTTGGCTGAGGGTTTAGGGTTTGGGGTTTATAGGGTTCGGGGTTTAGGGTCTAAGATTTGGGCTGCATTAAGTAACCTTGCCGCGGGCATGGGAATGTCAAGAGCATGTAGGGAAATGAAGGCTTTGGGGGTTCCGAGCAAGTTGAGCAGCGGAGAATCACATGGAGAAGAAAATCCCTAAACCCTAAACCCTAAGCCCTAAACCCTAAACCCTAAACCCAAAACCCAAAACCCAAAACCCTAAACCCTAAACTGGAATGAAGCCAGGTTTACACCGGTCCTAGAGGGAGTGCACTGTAGCAGCCTGAATGATGGGTGATTTAGAATAATTTCAAATCCCAATGTAAGGCCATGTTGGTAGTACTCCCTGTATAAACCACCATCTAGGGTGAGGTCGCTTTGAATTGCCAAATATTTAACGAGAATCAGGCAATAAGAATTAGGCTCTGGGGTTGACGGACATGCCTGCTGCGACTTCTGCTACTATAATGGGGTTATATAGGGGTTTATATATATATATACATATATGCATAAGGATTATACAGGGTTATATTGGGGTTATTGGGGGATAATGGAGAATAAAATGGAAAGTGCTATTTAGGGTTTAGGGTTTCAGCTTATGATAGTATCAATGCTACTGAGCCATTTGATAACAGAGACTACTGATAGTTCATTCTGCTGACGAGAAACCCGTGCCTTCTGCGAGATACTGCATATAAACGCTCGATTCTGTACACCTTATTGACTTATTGGGCTTAAACAGTAGAAATCTAGTAGGCCCTCAAGGAGCTAAAAAGGCAGCCACTGCTATCAGCGTAGCAGCAGGGTAGTGCGTTTTTGGTTGTTGAACCAAGGGAGGCTACATTCCTCTTGTAAAGTACGATGACAAAAGGATAATCTTGTCCCATGTAAATCTCGAATGTTCAGTGGGTCTTATTAACCCCTATCAGCCAATCAATACCCCAGCAATCCCCCTTCTTAACCTATTTACTAACAGGCCCTCCACGCAGGGCTCTTGCGTTTTGATATTTAAGGTTGCTGCGGCTTTTGGGGCTGTATGGCTTAGGGTTAATTAGAATAATGCAGAACCAAATGGAAAAAAAACAATGGAAAATTACATGGTAGCTGCTATTTAGGGATTCGTGCGCAGGGTGTCTACAAGCCGTCACCAGCTAACGCACCAGGCTGGATCTTACCAAGACAAGCCAGTCTACAATAGGCTGCCTCCTTGGGGCCGAGGGATGCATGTTTTGGGTCCTGCCCCATCCATTACTAGTCTATGGTAGGGGCCGTATTCAGGGCTATATAATCTATGCACAGATAACAGTCGAGAATAGGAGTCATATTAAGGGCTATCCATAGCTGAATTATGATTGATCGAACTGCCAACGGGCGGTGGGCAGTACCCAGTGCAAATTACAAGACGCGCGAATACATTGCGAGAGCAGCCGAGCGAAAACAATGCAAAAACAGGCTAACTCTTGTAATGTCCGGGTGTTCGTCTATAACTTGCTGAAGCCAGGTACTTGTTGTTGGTCTTGATCTCAGTGATATCCTGGAATCCGGGCTGTTGGGGTGAGAAGCTCAGGGTTTCGGGCTGATTTGAGACGTATTTTGGGGTGGTTGCGCCTAGAGTAAAGCCATACCTGGCATACCCAAAAGGTTCCAGGTGGGTAGAGTTCATGTTTATACCAAAATAAGACGCCTACATAGACCTCATACAACCCCTTTACCCTTTTACGAGCCCTATATGCGATTGAAAGCAGCGGTACCCGCCTGGTAGCTACCCACCAGGAAGTGTCATTGAATGATGGGACTTCTAAAATTCGAAACAGTCCAGGTATCTACATAGTATAAGCTTAGGCCTCAGAATGCCGAAGTAGCAGCCCACTTGGACCCAACATATTTACTGACATACAGGTACTTGGACATTCTGGGACATACTAGCCTGTTCCAAGTACCCCTAAACCTTAAACCCGAAGCCCTAACCAACCCTAAAGCTTGCGGGCTTATTCAGAGAAATCCTAGGAAGAGACGAGGGCTACAAAGGTAGGATCTCTCCATGAGATGCGCATGTCAGGAAGCGTCTATGGAAGTTTCTCAGTAAGGTTTAGGGTTCAGGGCTTAGCGTTGAGGGTAAGGTGTAGGGTTCAGGGTTAATGCATACGAAGCAGTATAGTGTTGTCTTGACAGCATAGATGTAGGCCTAGAGGACATGACATGTTTATGACTCGGGTTTTCCATACATAGGGCGTCTTTTGCCAGACCGTGCACCCAGCATGCCGCTTTCATTGGCCGATATACTACCAGCAGCCTGGCAGATTTCCATGTTATGTATTGGGTCACTCCCCGTCTCAGTAACTGTCCTTAAAAGGGGTTTTGATGTAAGGGGGAATGGCCCAAGTTATGTAACGTGAGCCTTGCTCGTATGAATTGGGCTGGGTTGAGGTGTCGAACATGCGGCTGCCCATGGAGACCCTGAACCCCCAAGCCACCCATAATGCAAATGCTTACGAGCAATCACCGCAGGGACCTACCCCAAACCCTAGACCCTTAGCCGTAAATGTCCCCAGAATCCGCTAGCAAGGACCACACGAGTGGCAAATAGTCATTTAGGCGCCTATATGATGCTCCCTTCCTGCGAACCACGGCGGGTCCTTTTGCTCTTGACAAGTACATGAGAGTTCTCAGATTGCAAGTATGGGGCCTATAGTACGCGCCTTATATACATATCAATATATATATATATGTGTGTGTGTTCTATATACGTATATATAAATATATATATATATGTTTTCTCTATATATATATATATAGATTATTCTGAAAATTTGGGCCCCTTCTGGTTATGGATTCTATTACGGCACCTTAAACCTAGGGGTACCAAAATGGGAGCCTAAGTTTGGAAATTACCCAGACGGGTGGTTGTCAAAATTATGGTCCGTTTTTGGATCCCCATTATACTACGGCACCTAATATTTAGGGTACCCAAAAAAGGACCATAATTTTCGCAACCACACAGATGTGCAATGTAGTTATGTACAAACAAACCCCTAGATGCGTTCGTTAAAAAGCTCGAGCCCTTTATCTGCACATTAAAATCGTCAAAGCCAGAGCCACCATGGTGCTCTTCAAAAGGTAGGATGATAACCTGATGAAATCATTACATGAGGAACCACATTTGAAAACATAGAATGAACAGCGTTACTAATTCTGATGGCCCTAAACTAGACCCTAAGCCGGCGCCACCAACAGTCCCTCTTGCCCGAAACCAAGCCTTAACCCTAACTCTAAACCTCAAAGGCTAATTCCTGGTCCTGAAGTCACAAATGCTAAGCCCTAGAACCCTCAGCCAGTCCTTCTTGGTGATGGAGTTGCACGCAGACTCGGCCTCGTGCAGGAAGGGCAAGGCCTTGTCCAACTCAATCTGAGCTTCAGCCTTCTCGCCTGAGGTTCCGTGAGTCTAGGTTTTAGGGTTTAGGGTTTAGGGTTTAGGTTTTAGGGCTTGGCTCGGGGTGTGTGAAAGCTGTGTGCATAAGTAGGGGGAATCCTATACTTCTTGCAAGTTCTACCCCATGTAGGATTTAGGCTGCTAGTGGGTCCCCTCGAACCTCCGTAGGCCTCGCAGTTGAGTTCGATGTTAGAATGCAGGTCTCACTCTTCAGCATTCGGCCAACCCCTGCGCCCCATGCATATACCCTGCACCCCGGACCACAAACCGCAAAACTTAAACCCTCAGCGCTAACTCGAAACTTCATACCCAAATCGCTGAACCATACACATATGAGCCATTTGCTAAACTCCTAGTATCCCCCTTAATAACCCAAAATAGTAGTCCCCTATATAATCTCCCCCTTTAAGGAGTTTAGACTATAGCTCATATACATAGCCCTTTTCGCCTGGAATATGCTGCAAACCCTCAACTTGCTGGTTGTCAGCAGGGATCCCGACAGTGGCCCCTATATAGTCCTAAGCAGTATAGTAAGGGTTTGGAAAATAGGGTTTCTGTGCTCTTTTCCGTGATCTCCTTGTCCGTCCTTGCAGAAAAACAGCACATTGACCCTACACGGTGAATTTCCTTATAAATCCCAGTTGCCATTTCGTGTTCCTTGTGTTTTACATTCAGCGCTCCGCCCCTTAACCCCCGATACCCTGGATTTGTAGAAAGGCCTCAAGCCTATCCCCAAAACCTTAAGAGCTAGAAAGCTGAGTCCCCATTTATGTCCAGTTTCCAGTTGGTTCTCACTATTGGTAGGAGGAAGGGGGGTGGCAACCTCTGAGGTCTTAAAAAAACTGTACCCTAAACCATTAAACCTAAAACCTACATCCTACACCCTAACTTCAAAGCCCCCATAGCCTAAACCCTATACCCTAAACTCTACACACCTAACCCTATATCTGAAACCCTAGACCTTTCCTTCACATATATATATATATATGTATAGAGTAAACGTTAATGACTTAGCGGGCGAAGGTCATATTTTTGCTGGGCAAAATCATATTCTCTTACTGGGAAAAGCTCATAATTTCGGTGGGCAAGGTCACTGGGACGTTGCCCCCTGAAATGATGACGTTGCCCAATGAATTTGTGACCTTGCCCAGTAAATTTGATATCTTACCGGGAAAGATCATAGTTTTACGGGGCAAAGTCATCTTCTTACTTGAGCTATTGTCTAAACTCCAAGTATCCCCCTTAATAACCCCTATAGCACTCCCCTAAATAATCCCCTATATACCCCCTTTAAGGAGTTCAGACCCTAAACTCTAAACCCTAATCCCTAAACCCTATAGCTCACTTGGCAAGGTCATGAGTGGTACCTTGGGGCCTTAGGCTGGAGCCCTCAGGTGCAGGCTGAATGCGAGGGTTCAGGGTTTGGAGTTTAAGGGTGGTTTATGGAAAAGAAAATGGAAACTACGATAATGGGTTATATACGGTTTAGCCTGAGTACTGCCCTGGGGGCAGTACCCAAGGTTTAGGGTTTAGAGTTTAGGGTTCAGCGTTTAGAGTATAAGCTTCAGGATTTAGAGTTTAGGGTGTAGGTTGCTTGCCCACGGGCAGGTAAGTATTTTACGCGCTTAAGAAGTAAATGGCCGGACTTGAGATGCTGAACCCTAAGCCCTAAACCCTAAATCCTGACCTAAATCCCCTAAACCCGAATTCCCAACTCCCCCACACCCTAAACCCTAAAACCCCTAAACACCTAAACCCTATACCCTAAACTCTAAACCTCGTTGCAGAACGGTGGCCGTTAATCTTGTCTGCTTCAGCCTGACAGTCTGCCTTCTGCGCATTGACCTGGTTGATAGGTTGGTTTAGGGTTTGGGATTTAGGGACTTTTTTGATGGGACCTTGTCAGGGATTTAGGGCTCAGGGTTTAAGAGGCTCAGGGTTTAAGATTTAGGGTTTAGGGTTTAGGGGGGCTAGGGTTTAGGGGGTACAAGGTTTTTGTTTTTTTTTACACCCCTATCGCACCTTTTCTGTGCCAGCCATCAGGCGAGGGGAGCCTTGAACTTTACGCAACAGCTCGACCCAAAAAACCTCCAGCTTCCTTGTCACCACGTGGCAGGACGTTGTCCACACCACAAATTCACTCATGGCACGAGGGGACACTGAACAAGGAGAGGCCTATTCACTCATCCCGGTAGCAAGGTTTAGGGTGTAGGGTTTACGGGACGTAAGGTTTGGGGATCTAGGGATTATACGGATTAGGGGACTTAGGGATTTAGGGATCAGGGATTAATGTATAGGGTTTAGGGCTTAGGGATTAGAGTTTAGGGTTTAGGCGGGATTAGGGAATTTAGGGATTTGGGTCTCGGGATTAGGGTTTAAGGGATTATAGGGTTTAGGGGATTTAGGGATTTAGGTTTAATTACAGTTCGGGGTTCAGATGTGGGGTTGTGTAGGAATATCCAGGCGACAGGGTTTAGGACGTCGGAAGCAGGGCTAAGGGGCGCGGAACTAAAAGTGCAAATGGCCCATGCGTGCGAAAGCTGAAACACGAGAATACCTCACATGAACAACGAACCAAGTCACTGCAAGTTTCAGCAGAAGGAATTCCCAAAAACAGGGTCCCGCGAAGCTTAAAATCAGGCCCGCTGTATAAGCGACAAATATTAGCGAACCAATTATATGGATGGAAGAAAGGCTTTAGGGAAAAAAAACGTACGTAGGGGCTACGTTTAGGGATTAGGGTCTTGGGCTTACTGGGGTCTTCACTACTATAGCTGGCTAGCTGTTGTGAAGCTTACCCTTGCCACAGCCCATAGCGCGATGCTAAGTTTTACTCGTAACTTGATTTCGTTCCCGTGGCTGTTCTTGCAAGTCTCATACCGCTCAGTATTACTTGCAAGTTTTGCTTGCGTGGCTCAACTTACCGCCACCTTTTGGGCGAGGCACCTTGCAAGCTTTTATGACTTGACCCAAACAAAAGGTATTCCAGCTATGCAGTACCGCAATTAATAACTATAACTGGTAGGGGAATGACCCTCAAATCCTCTAGGCTCTGAACTCTAAACCCTAGACCCTAAACCCTAAACCCTCAACCCTCGATCCACCCTAAGTTTATCCACCCCAGAAATTAGATCCTACAGTAGCAGGCGAGAGGACGACTCAGGAGGTGATCCAAAATCGAGGCTTCTTAGGGTTACTGAGGGCAAGTTTACGCCTCAAGGAGTATAGTTCAGGGTTTAGGGTTTAGAGTTTAGGGTTTAGGGGTGTAGGGTTTAGGTTTTACGGGTTTAGGGTTTAGGTTTTGGGGGTTTAGGGTGTAGGGTTTAGGGATTTAGGGTTTAGGTTCCTCAGGGGGATAATTTGAAGGACTACCACTGAGCAAACCAACGTTCTCCTTGCCAGTACTATACCCAGTAGAAGGAGCTTGGCTATCCTGGCGGCTATAGTACTTATGGATTACAAAACCAACCCCTCTATACTATCCCCTAAGGCTCCCCCTTCTTTAAACTAACTTAGGCTTTAAAACGAGTAAACACAGGGGAAAATTAGGGAGGTAGTATATGGGGAAGTAGTAGAAGAAGCCATACTTGGAGGGTCAGGGGGACTTAGTAAGTAGGTGAATAACCCCTATAAACCATATAGTAACCCTAGTTATCCCCATTATTAACCCGCTTACTAAGTCCCCCTGACCCCCCAAGTAAGGTAGCC